AGAAGGCATCATTCACTTAAGAATTCTACAGTGTGCATTCTTGAAAATCAAAAGGAAATAAAAGTTTTCTTCCCATCCATTCATCTTTGTTTGCCCCCAGCCAGCCGTGAAAAATTTTAAACACATTCAGATATGCTTACAGCTTAACATTGATTCTTTTCCTTTCCTTTAAAAGGATAGAATTAAAAAAGGCAGCTCTGAGTGAAGGCCCACTCCTGTAAGCTCAAAAGTGGTCTGCAGGGCCCTCCTGGTTCAAAGGCATCCTCCCCCACCCAGATGTAAGTAAATCCGAGTAGCTCAGAAAGTTTCAACAAGTACAGCTGTGAGATGCGACTTCCGCTTTCACTTTTCAGTAGCAAATGTCACTGGAGGTAAGACAAATGGGAATCCTCAATTATAATACATTTCCAAATTTTTATTTCAAGGGCCCTGTGAATTTACATTTCCCTGAGTCAGCGAGACAGCCGGTAAGATAAGAAGAAAAATTAACTTTAAAAATGTAAACCTTTCTTCCTCACATTTTGGCTTAAGAAAGTTGTAAAATGAGGAAACCTCCATTGGGAAGAGCCCTGGAATCCAAGGAATAGAATCATAAAGCCTTAGGCTCCACTTCGTAGACGAGGAAGAAACTTTTCTTTTCTCCAGACTCTACTGTGACCACGTACACTCTCTTGTGTGCACTAGTTATTCCTTTTTTAGGTCAGATATCTATGTGGGAGGATGAATTTATATGTATTTGTTTTCCTTCCTCTCTCTCCCTGTTAACACCTGTGGGACATCTATTTCACTGTTTAGCATTTTCCTGTAAATCTGTCACCTAGAGATTTAACTATGTCTAACTAAGGGGCTAGAGGTACTATGAGGTTACGACCATTGTAATAAGTATTGTAAAAAAGCATCGTAATAATATAATTGTAGTATTGATGGCCCTTAAAGCTGACTTCAGAATAGAGTTGCTGATATTAATGTCATTTACAAAATCATTAAATAGATTTGTAATGGACACTGTTAAATAAGTGAAAGTTATCAAGTTCATAAGTGAAAGTTAATAAGTGAAAAATAAGCCTCATGTATCCATTCCGAAGAGTTTTAGTCACAAAGGCATCACCAAGCCTCTTTTGTCTTGAGAATTGGAATCATATATTAATAGATAAAGACTAAGCAACCATGCTTTGTTTAATCAAAGCATTCATCAAATTGAGGAAAAGCCCATATCGAAACTAAGTCCTTTAGGTGTCTGTTGCATTCCTCCACTTTGGCTTAGCTGGAGGGAATCTATTACCTCTCATCTAGCTATCCTCCTGACCCAAGTTGGATGCCCACTTCTCATCTAATTGCCCATATGATCTAAGAAAGATGTCCTTGCTTTCGATTCCTTTTGCAAACTTTTAGAATTGGCTTTTTATGTACATTGACTTGCAGTAACCCCAATGGTTTCTCATTTATTTGGCTTTTAGAGTTTTTGGAATATAGTGCCCTGTGAAGAGATTGAGATCTGTCACCTGTGGTGCCCATCCATTTGTGATCCACTTAGGAGATTGTGCTGTGGCCTGGTCCACAGTGGGTGTGGTTCCCCAGTGAAATGATGCGGGACAGGCTCATTCCCAGGAGACTGCTTTGGTTTTGGGAATGCGGGTTGGAAGAGGGTAAGGTGGGAGAAAAAGATCAATTAAGTGCCACCACTCCCAAGATCAGGGAAATCTTCCCGGTTGCCACGTTTTCAGGACTGTGTCATTGACTTCTTAGCAGAGAAACACAACTCTTGGAAACTGATCATTCTTTGTCACACAGTTAACTTTTCCTTCTTCTCGATAAACATCTCTGGAATGGAAGAGTGAAGTTTGCCCTTGCTTGCTCTGTATCATCCAGTCTCATGACAGGCAGAAAATGTGACGTTCCACAGTTGTTCAATTTTCAGATCACGTGACCTGATGAATACTAGATGAAAAGGAACCGGCGCAGTTCTGAAGGGAGAATGCTGATAAGCTTTCCCATTTCCATGAGAGAGGAAGAAACAATCCCATCTGTGTTTTGTTTTGTTTTTTTTCTTTTTGGTGGCAGTATGTGTGATTTATTTTTTGTTCGGATTTTAAAGTTCCATAGAGAAACCACTGGACATTTTCTGCCTGGTGGCGTGGAAGGGTTTTTAAATCTAAATACTGCTGGGAATACTTAAGAGCATGCCTATTTGGCAAAGGAGGGAGCTCTGTAAACCATCAAAACAGGACCTGGCAACCGTTTCCCTGGCATGGATTTGTGCTGCTCGGATGAAGTGAGGCTGATCAAATCACTGCTTCCAGCAGCTGCTGGTTAATTGCTTTTTGGTATCATACTCTGTGTGGTGTTTATCCAAAATCTGGGTGCATTTAAAGGGGCACAGCAGCTAGAGGAATTAGTAAAGTTTAGGATACATAGCCAAATGACTTACATTTAAAGGCAGGTATGCTTTGCAAAGCAGGAAAGGCATTTCTGGCTCATGCGAGATCTGTCATTAAGTCTTGCTGCCTCTTGAATTCATAGCCTTGCCCTCCATTCCCCTGGCCCAGGCCCACGTCACACGTGTCTGCCTGGCTCAGGCATGCCCTGGTTTTCCCATTCCCCCTGGCATCTTCCTGCTCTAATGCAGTCTGGACTCTTCTATCTAATACGTTGACAGAATGCTTTATAGTTTAAAGTATTTTTATATATATCCTTTAATTTCATCTGTAAGAATCGTCTTCAGTTCTCTCTTGCCTTGTATTTCAGGTGTAAACACCTCAGCCCACTGACCTTGGAGATCTCTAACTTCCTTGCACAGCCATCCTCGACTACCTCCTTCACGATCCTTCCATTTCAGCTAAATCTGCCCCCCACCCCCTGTGCTAGACCCGCATATTCCTGACCTGATGCCCTTGTTCTTGACATTCTCCATAACTTAATTGCTTTCTCACCTCCTCCTAAAATATACATTTGCCAGAAATTTTTCTTTGATTAGGTAAGCATTCTTCATGCTTAAACAAGATGACTTGTAGGATTGCCAAGATGTTCAAGATTCTAGAATCAACCCATTTACTGGGAACTTTACTATCCCAGGAACTCTGCTAAAAACTTCCACATATATATTTTATTTGCACCTCCTAACAGCCCTTCAAGGTAGATATTATCATCTTCAGTTTACAGATGAGGAAACCAAGGTTCAGATAGCTTCGTTAGCTTGCCGGACTCCTACAGCTGAAAACTGAAAGGCAAAGCTAAAAATGAAACACAAATTTTCTTCCTCCTAATCCAGTGTTCTTTCCACTGTTTCCAGTGTACTACAACTGTTTTCTGGTTACTATGGTTGTTTTTGTGGGCTGCTTGCTTATTATTGTTTTAAATTCGTTCTATTACACCAATTTAGATAGTTAGATAGGGCATCCTTTATTTTGTTGACACTTTCCAGTGTCTACCATAGGGCTCTGGGAATAGAAAACACCCAACAAATGGCAGTTGACTTAATTTATTTGTCAAAATACACAGATCTTTGTCTTTGACACATTTTGCAGTTATTTCTGGGAAAAGTTTCAATCCTTCCGACAAGAGTCCCATTGAGTGGCATGCATGGGAACAAATATCTGGCATGTAATGTAAGCAGTCACTAAGGGTGGTAATCATGTCACTAACCAAAACCAGGTCAGCCAGTCTCTCAGTAGCATTCTACCATGCCCTGGCGTCACAGGAATTTGCGGTGTATAGATCATCCCAAGCACTTTGGGATTCCTCTCTCTGGTGGCCCTGAGCAATTATAACCACCCATTTCATAATATTAATTAGGAAGCTTAGTAGTCATTGCTATTAATAAAAGGACGATTTAATGTGGTTAGGATGCCAGGTGCCACACCAAACCTGGTGTGAAACGCCCTTAACAGAAAACACCGTATGGTCGCCCTAGCTCCACAGGTGTTGGAATCCCACAAGCTGTCGGTTACACCATGAACGTGGGAAGTCTGATCCTGGCCTGGAGCTGGCTTGTTTGTTGTTTTCTCTGGGTGTAGACATATGTCAGGTGTAAATCCACAGATGAAACAGCTAGTTAGTATTTCTGTACTGTGTCTTTTGACAATCGTTATTTATTAAAACTTTTTACATGTGCGTGATGGGGAAATCATTGTATATTACTGTTCTAAGTTGAAAATTAGGCAATCAAGGCTCTGAAAAGGTGAGAAGACAAGGAAGTCAGTTCAGGAGTGAATCCAGGACAGGACACTTCCAGTATTTTCCTCCTATGAAGCAAGAGAAAGGATCCATGGGCCGCAAGAAAGGCACAGTTTCCCACTGAGGCAAGCATGACTTCTGGATGCGCCAGGCTGAGAGTAGATGACAGGCACCCACTGAGCAGCCGGCTCGACAGAATGCCAGCGTGTAGCCTTCGAGAGCTTGGACTTGGTGGCAGATCACCTGGGTTCGAGTTCCAGTTTTGCCACTTCCCAGCTGTGTGATCTTGGAAGGTGACTTATCCTTCATGTGTCATGCTTTGCTTATCCATAAACTGGAGATTAGAATGGTGCTTACCTCGGAAGGTTGTTACGAGCATTAAATGAGATAATATATGAAAAGTAAACAGACCAGCATCTAGCACTCAGTAAATGTTATATAAGTGTTTAAGTTAAACAACAATGGAAATCAAAAACCAAAAACAGAACAAAAAAACCTTCCCTTCCTTAGCATGGCTCTGATAACCTCTATGGAATGAAAGAAAGCCTTCTCTCTTACCATAGCTATGGTTTACTCTTTAAATGACATAAAAGTTTCTACAAATCTTACTTAAGGCATGAAACATTCCCACCACAATTCCCATTACCCAATCTCTAGAACTATTTGGGGGCCACAAGTGTCTGATTTTTATGCCAGTGTGGAGAGAAGGAAAAATGAGAGATTGGCGTATATTCTACAGAACAACTGGCAGCAAGATACGAATATGATTCTGTTACCAATGAGCACTGAAAATGAGTTGATTGATCGAACTTCTTCTCATTTTCCAGCTACCACGACGCCACCCAAGCGGAAGGGCCACTTCGCCCGCTGCCCCAGGCAGTACAGGCACTACTGCATCAAAGGGAGGTGCCGCTTTGTGCTGGCGGAGCAGACGCCCTCCTGCGTGTAAGTGGAGGCCCGGGGCTGGCGGGCTGCAGAGTCCGGGCTCACCGAGCCGTGTGTTCGAGGCCCGCTGGGCAGCCCCTTACGGAGAAAGTGACACGCACTTTCCTCCTGAAACCCGAGCATGTGACGGTCCAGACCCACGTCCAGGCGGGGCGGTGTCCTCCACGACCTTGCGCAAGCAGAACCGATTCCGTCCGGCGTGAAGGATGCTTTTCTGCTCAAATGATCTCCTGGGTGCATCCCATGGAAAGGAATTCCTCTGGCCGGTGTTAGGTGGTTCGCAGTTAATGTAAAGACGAAGGGATTCCTGCCAAACAGCGAGCCACTCTCGCAGGCGTCAGCTAAGGGCGAGGAAGTGGTCTTCTTTATAAACAGAGACTAGCAAAGCCTGCTTGGTGCAGTAGGGAATTGGAGATAAGTTCTCTTTCCAACTCTTTGTAGTTCAGAGTCCAAGTTTAATTTTACTCAGGCACGAGCAAGGCTTTTTGCACCTTTTCCACACTCATTTTCTCCAAAGAGATGCACGTCTTAAGTGCTGCTTGGTATTTTTACTCGCAGAAGAGCAAGGTGATTCTTTAAGTACGATTTTGACTTAAAGTTCACAGAAGGTTCCTGTTCTTCTGATCAGTTCCCTGGTACACATTTATTTTTCCATAAGTATGTCAGAACAGTGATTCCCAACTCTGATTTTGTGGAAACTTTAAGTCATGAACGTTTTCCAAATTTAATTATAGTTAAATTTAATTTAAAAAAGAAATATGCATGGATAATGCTTAGAGGGATAAGAATTGCTAATGTAAGAAAATAAGGAAATGTGTATGCGTGTGGGTTGGGAAGGATAGAGCTGATTTTTTTTTTTTCAGTTCATTTAAATTGCTAACTTGGCTGGAGCATATATTTTTAGTTTTAAAAATATTAATGTTCTTTAACCAGTAGTACATTTTTTTCGCTGGTCCTTCTTATGTCTGCAGATCTATTGTGTTTTAATATTGCTGCTGTCTGAAATGAAAACCACAGGGTGTAATCCATCTGCCTAAGATCAGCACATAGCTCGTCCCCTTGGGTTTGAGGTTAAAATTAATTTTCTTGGCCTCCATAGCAGTTCTGATCCTGGCTTAACTTTCTAGCTATGTCTCTCACCGTATTCCCAAACGTCCCGCTAAAATCCTACGTTCCTTTTCATGGGTCATTATATACGCTCTTCTCACAGCTGGAAGCTTATTCCTACTGATGGTTTAAGATGAATCCCACCCCCCCATGAGCTCTTCCTGGGCCCCTTCGTTGGCTTCCTCCTTCTGAGGCACACACCCGGGTCTGAGTTAGATGTCCTTGTCCTGCCACCTAGTCACACCTCTCTGAAAGCTCTCACCCACTGGAGCGTAAATGATGGTTTCTTTGAATGCGCTTCTGTGACTGGAAGCTCCTAGAAGGCCAGGCTGATAGTTTATTTATGTTTGTGTTCCATTGCCAAACACGGCGCCTAGAATTTACTAGTTATGCAAGAAATGGCTGAGGAATGAATGAATAAGCACCCCTATTATAGTCCATCTAGATGCTGTATTAAATTTCAAAACCAAGGCTTTAATCTGAACAGGGACAGCTTCTTAGTAGTGGATGATGCTGAAAAAATGGGAGGCAGGCGATCATGGGAACTAGGGCATAGATTTTGGAGTCAGACAGAACTAAGATAAAATTTTATTTTTACCGATTATAAGCAGTGTTGATAATGAGTCAGTGACCTTTCCTGAGCCTCAGTTTTAACATCTAAAAAAAGGGAGTCATAATACTTTCCTCTCAAGTGTTAAAGATTAAGCAAAATAATAAATACAGTAACACTTATGGTATCCAGCACAGAGTAAGTGTTTCACAATAGCACTGTTGAGATGAGTGGTAGATATTCAAACTCGGACTGACCTTGTAGGTAGCTTAGTGTAGTTCAGATTCAGGCAAAACCGTCTTGCCGTAGGTGACAACGTCATCTTGAAAAACCAGGAATATCTCCTTTTGCTTGGGATCGTAGGAGTTCGTGGACTCCTGTTTTTATGTGAAAAACCAGTGTGTTTCAAATAATTCAAATCCCCTATTAGTCTTCTCAGTATTTTCTTGGAATAGGGATAATTTGTTTTCAGATACATAATTTTTATTTGTATATCCAGCACAATTTATTTTGTATGCTCTGAAGAGCATGAACCGGGGGCCAGACTGCCTGTGTTTGAATCCCACCCAGCCCCATTCACGTTACGTCTCTGTACCTCGGTTTGTTTCTTTGTCTATTAAATAGCACCTGCCTCAAAGGTTCTTATAATGATCTAG